TTTTTATTTTAAAATAAATGCACAAAACGATTTTTTGGTATAAAAAATAAAAATAATTCCATTATGATAATTTTATATTATTTGTTTTTATTTATTTTTTCGGGAAAATCACCTAATAATATTTCAAAATTATTTAAACAGTTTTGGGACAAATTTTTGAAAAACTGTTAAAAAGAGCAGTATTGGGTTGTTGGCGAATTAACACATTATACATTCAAAAAAAGAAAGCAAGAAATGTGGTGTTTGTAATTCCTCTCTGGTGAATTCTCGAGTAATGTCAAAAAAGCCAGCACACCACTTACAATAGTTAACCAAATAAGTGTTATTGTTGTGATGTGGTTAATAGGTTATACCAATTGATTTGAAAAGCAAAGAAAAAGATTGACAACCAGCGTTTCTTTGAGAATGTCAAATGGTAAAAATTAATAATAAAATTACTATGTATTTATGGTTTTTAATTAGCGATTAGGGTGCGCAACCGTTGACAAAATAATTGCTGTTTGCCCGTTTTTTAACACAAAAATATACTTTGCTTTAATTGTTTTATTTTTACAACTAATCGTGATCTACAAAATCTCGAGATCTGAGATATTATTTAATAGATCTGCCATAACAACCAAAAAATCAAAACAAAATAAATAAAACAAAAAATATATATTTTTAGTCATTAAGCATTTTGTTTAAAGTGACTTCCCCAAAGTGTGCAAGTTAAAATTTTTAGTCTTTTTTACAGGGAAAGGGCGTGCAAGACTAAATTCCAGTTGAAAAACATTTTATTAAAAAAATGTTATTCGTTTCAAAATGGTTTCAAAAAACACACAACCCTTTGGTGCTTGAATTAATAAACTACAAAAAGCAAATTAAATAATAAAAATTGGGTAATGGTTTGTTTATGTGTTTAATGTAAAAACAATTTTGTTTCAAGACGTGAATAATTGTCGATGTCTCTTGTGTCATCGTGATTTGAAGCAACAAGAAGAAATGTGATAAACATTTTATTTTTCTCTGTGCCATTTTATAGCAAACAATAACAAATAGTCTGTTTAATAGGTGCAGTTCATTGTCTCAAATCGATGTGTGCTGTTGTCCAGAACTGGTCCTTCGATAATTTCCATTGGGTCGCTTTCCCGAAATTGTTGCTTAATTTATTGTATTCGAAGTGTGAAAGTTAAAAATTGCAACGTCACAAGGTGTGCAAGTTAAAGTATAGTTTAGTAATAACTTCAAAATTATAATTAATAATTAAACTAAAAATAATCTTTTTTTTTCAAAATTTCAAAAAATTAATAATTCTATTTTTTTAATAAAAAAATTATAAATGAACTATACCTTAACTTGCACACCTTTAAACTAACTTGCACACCTTGGGAAGTCACTTTATATAAAATCTTTTATCTCATTAAAAATCTATAATGCCAAATATCTCTTTTTTTGTTTAAAAAACAATATTCACATTTTTTTACCACCATTAATTTGATATTTTTATATGTTTCAACAATTCTACAAATTTATAACAACTGTTTTTTATCACAAACATTATTTCGAAATGTAAAGATACTTAAATATAAAAACGAAAAGCCAATCTTTTATAATTTAACGTTTCTGTATGTTATTATGTTCTCTATCTAGAGCCAGTTATTTTTGTACAGATGAAATACACCGAAATCATCATTCAAAATTGTATCGAGTCGATACACCAATCAACTTACCATTATTTCCACGTTAAATTGTTGTGAATGATATGCATCTTACTTTATTATAAGTTTGGTCGTTGAGTTATTGCCCAAATTGTCGAATTGCAATGATATTCTTTACCTTTATTGCAATTTGATTATTTGTTGTGTTACTATAGTTGGTTTAACAATGTTTTACGATTGGAAACATTATTTGGTACCTTTTGAACCAAAACAAGTGGATAATCACAGGAAACCATTCAAAATCCAATTGTTTTAGTTTTATTTCTCATTTTTTGAGTTTTTACCCAAATTCTTATTTTTAAACAAAAAATACAGTCATTAAATTTTGATTTAATCATGGTTACGAATAAATAATGTTGTAAGGCTGACTCTAACCATTTTTAATATAAAAATCAAAGACAACATTTGATCAGATTATATGTTATTAAAAATAATATAAAAATGATTTTATAATAATATTGTTCTTTAACCATAATAAACAAAAATATATAGTTTATTTTATTATTAATTGTTAATTTTTAATTGTGTTTTTTAAATCTAAAAATAAATAAATTTACAATTTAACTTTAAGTAATTCATTTTATCAAAATAATATTAATTCAAACATTAATTATAAAATTACATATTAGAATAAAAAATCTAAACATTTTCAATTTCGTTAAACAATAAATAATTAATTTTTTAACAAAAATAAACTAAAATAATCAGACTTACTTTTATTCTAATTGAATTTTCAAAAATGTAATTTTTGAAGCAGTATTGGGATTCATACGATTTTTTTCATCTGATAACACTGTTCCCATTATACTGAACACCCTTTCAGGGTCTATACTGGTTGATTGGAGAGATAAGTATTTACGGGACAGTTCTTTTAAATAAAGGCAATCGTTATTGTCCCAATACATCAAAGGGTCGTCAACAACTTTATTTCCGTTCTTTCCTTCATCTTTCAAATACATTCCCAATTCCCTTTGTATTTCTACAAACTTGCTTTCATAATTAGAAACAATTTTTTCTTTCTCGGCGACTGGAATATCAATGGTTAATTTCCTTGGGAAAATATCAGGAAATTCCATTAGTTTTTTTTTCAATAACCCTTCTAATTTTTTCTTTTTCAGATTCATCTAAATATTTGTCACGTTCTGGAGGAAACAGAAAACACGCTATTTTATAGCGTGTTTCTCCTTTAATCGATTCTCCGAATCTCTTGAGGAACCCATCTCGTGCAATTTGTTTCCAGTCTTTGCCAAATATATAATCTGAACCCGAAAAAGATTTTTGTTGTGATAATATAGTCGACGCTGTTAGTGGTGTTGGCTGCACGGATGAGCCAAGATGAGCCAATGGGGTTAAACTCAAAGACGGAGTTGGCAGTCTGGATATCGCCGTTATTTTATTAATAGAATTGTGTATCGGAAATCTGAAAATTATATGCGACTTTTCTTTTGGGGAATTCCAGGTTTGTGTTTTATTTTTTTCTTATAACTTTCCATATTTCTTTAAATATTCCCCAAACATAACAAGAGTTTGGTGTAGTGTTTGTGGAAAGTTTATTGTAAGCAATATTCATTATTTTAACGAAAGGTAATATTTTCTTTAATTCTATCCAGTTATCATTCGTTAGTCTTTTGTTTTCATCTGTTGCAGTTATTGATTTTTCCATTTGAAGAGCTGTTTCCAATGATTTACAACACGAATTAAAAAGTGTTTTACAAAAAGTTGCCAAACAACAATATTTCTCTTTATTTTCTTCACATTTCTTTTTTAAATTAATGCGTTTGGATGGTGATACTTGTTACATTTTTTGATATTTTATTTATCTTTTTCAATGTTTCATTCAACTCTGGAATAGTTTTAATTAAATCAGAAAAAATAAGATTAATTCCATGAACAACACAGTTAAACTTTTCACCACAAATGTCATTTAATCCATTGTTGTTAGCACAACCATCCGAAACGATGTAATTAACAGAATTCGTTATTCCATATTTGTTTAAAACATTTTCTGTTTTGTTTTTAATGTTTTTTGATGTGTGTGTTTCATTAAAAACACTTACATCTAAGACATAATTTTTAGGAACAAAATTTTGGTCGATAAAATGTAAAGTTGTTGTATTGTAACTATTCCCAAATTTGGACATTATATCAGTTGAAACACATCCGTAATTACCTTTAATAATATCCTTCATTTCTTTAAAATAATCACACATTTTATTATTATAAACTTTATTTAACAATGATGTTCGAAAGGTCGTTTGGCCACAAAGTTTTATAGTTGGGTCTAATGCATTTATTAATTGAAGTAAATATGGGTTTGTTATTTGTCTTAAAGAAACATTACCAGTGACAAAAAACTTTAATAAAAGAGTATTTATTTCGATACTTTTTGGTGAAAAAGTTCTGAGTACTTCAAAATCATTAATTTCTTCATCACTTAATTTTTCTGGATGCAAAGAAAAAAGATGTGTTCTCATTGATGATGTATTTCCTCCAAAGACGAGTTCTTTTCGACAAAAACAACAAATGATACTTGTTTTACAATTTGTACATGTTGTAACAATAGAAAAATGATTCGTACAAGGACTCGAATGTTTTTTGAAATATTTCCAAACAAAAGAGTTATCATGGGAATGATCTTGCATATGTTAATTAAGATTGTTATATTAATAATATGTATAGTTTCAAATAAGTTAATTTTTTATTTAAAAGGGTGGCAAATGTTATTTTTAAAATAGAATTTTATTATCTTGAAGATTCATTTGTGTAATAATTTTTATAATAATTATTAACAGTTTGATTTGTTTTGATTGAAACACCACAATCATTATTTTGCCGTTTTTTATTTTTTTTTATTTTTTAAATTAAAATTTTATTTGTTACACTGTTTTTCGTGTTTGTTCAATTTTTAATTAATAAAAAACAAAAATTCAAAAAAGATGTTTTTAATAATTAATTATTTTTTATTCTTTTTTGGGTCGAAAAAAGAAATAGTTGCTTTTTATATAATTTGGAAAAACACGTATCAATATTTAGACAGATCTTATGGTTTTATTCCATTTTTAAGAAAAAAATAAAAAAGTGGCATATAAAACTTTTTTTTTACACTCAGAAAAAATAATTACAAAAAAAGAATATTTAATTCTTACGGTTGCGCACCCTATTAGCGATGGTCGCTACTATATATTATAATATAAAAACAGATATAGAAAATTTCCTTGTTGTATTTTTGGAATATCGTTAATTAGAAATCAGATTTTAAAGTTATTACATAGACAAATAAAAGTGTACAAAGAAACAAATAAATTACAAGCAGAAGAAAGTGTATTGACCGGATAGAGGGTCGATGTAGTAGTATTGTTGGTATTGTTGGTATTGTGTGTATTGGTAACACGGTAGTTGATTTTGTGAGTAGTATAAGTATTGTTCTTCTTGCTTTGTTTGGTCAGGAGAAGATGTTTCAGGTGTGACTGATGTAGTCTCTGGTGCAAGTGAGTTGCAGAGAGTGTTTGACGGTGTGATGAGTGGAGAGTTGTTGAAAGTGATGAGTGATTCGGCAGTGATAGTAGTGAGGTGTTCATTTGATTTGTCGACGATAGTGATGATTTCTTCGCCGAGTTTGATGAGTGCTTGTTTGTCGTAGGTTGTATTTTGCTTTGAGATAGATTGTATTCTGATGAGTCTTTCAGTGAGATGTGCTCTTTTGACCTTTTTCTCGACAAAGGAATAACCCTCGTT